CTCTTAACGGTACCCTAAACGGCACCAAACGATTCCAACCAGCCGACCCCATTCACAGCGTCCACCAATATTGCTCAAAATATAGCGTTCATACTTGTGCGATTGTCAATTAAAACGCCACTATTGCGCATATCTGAGGCACCATAACAACACGTTGATATTTTGTATGTGTGTCTTTTACTAGAAAAGACATACGACATGCAACGCTTGCACGAAAAGGCAAGTGTTTCCAAGGCTTTGCTAAGACGACACAGTAGTGGCACCTACCCGTCGCCTTGCGTTCTCCACCTTATCACCTTCGAGACGGGCGCGCACGCCACGCGCTTTGTTTTTCAAGATAACTGCCAGATAGCGCTCGTGTCTCACGTGTGAGGTGACCTGATGCGCTCGTTCGCCTCCGATGCACGCTCGAGGCACTCTAACGCTGCGCCTCCAGAATAGCATTCACCAATTTTCTTGCGCAGAACATCATATAAACGTTTTGTTCGCTCTCTCCAGGCGCAAGACCATCGTCTGTCGACAACATTTGCAGTGTAACATGCAGAATGGGGCCAATGTTTTTCTCTCTCGCGTGCGCTTTGACACTAGCAATTAAAAATTCGCCACTGGCGCAGCTTCGCTATTGGCGTGGGCCGAGGCGGAACCGCTGCGCTCTCTTAATGGCGAATTCCACTGGAAGAGCAGGAGCATTCAAAAGCACGCTGAATGTGCTCTCTTTAGAGCGGGCGTGTTTCATTAGTCTAACAGGTGGAGCAGCACTGTCATCCATTGGTAGAGTGAGAGTGGTTTTCCTGCGCCGAGAGGAAACAGGTGCAGTTTGCAGTGCTCTCGCCTAAAAAGCGGAATAGGCGCAGTACAACGAATCACGTGGGCCTTAACGTCACAGTCTCCGAATTTTTATTCAGCGAGTGAGTGCGGCGGCAGTGGTAGCAACCATGTGTAGTTTGACACCGCTGTTTTGCACGGTTGGCTACGATGACAGCTGGACGTCTGCCGAATGCGTCGTTGCACAAACATACTAGGTATTAGGATAATGAAGAACATTTGGCTGACTGATTTCATGCATATTTTGCTGCTGCCCCAGAGATAATATGCCGGGGCTTGGAATGTTTCCACACAAGGTCTCCCCACTCACCACCACCGTCACCTGCCTCCCCCCTCCTTACTGCCCTGCCCTTTTACTCTTGTTCTCTCAATGGAATTCGCCATAGCTATAGTATACACTCTAGCTGCATTCCACTGCCAGTCTGCCTCTTCCGGCGCACAAAAGAAACAAAAGAGTTGAAAGTGGGAGTTTGGAGACTTTGCGTGAATAGCAGGGTGTGTTTAGGCACGAATTGATTGTTTAAATTCGGCGCCTTACGCGTGAACAGCAGACGTTTGATTGCAAGCACGGTGATGTATTTGAGCGCTTTTGTGAATACAGCGGAACCCGTCGTAAATGATGCTGGGGGATGGTTACGTGAAAATTTACTTTGGCGAATACTCAAAGGCTAAAGGTATCCTGAAGCACAGTCATAGAAAACGAAATAGCGTTCAGCGCGTTCTTTACTCATCAAAGTCAACGTTGAAAATCCTGAAAATTTCTAGGATTGATTCAAGCGATACACCGCAGTCTTTAGAATAACGCGAGTAGTGGCGAATTTTCACGACGTTATCTAAAAGCACGCCATTTTTGGGGCATTTCAAGCGAAGTCGAATCCCGAATAACAAATCAGTCGAGCTGGAAGCACTCACAGACATTGCACGGCCTCCAGTGCATCGCAGACGTGGCAAGTATATGTTGCTGCAACGGCCGTCGCAGGGGTGTATCCTCGTTCGGACCATGCAGGGAAACGAGCGAACTTCTTTCAGATAGCTCTTCTCACTACCCGAACAGCGCAGAGAACGGCGACTACAAGAGAGATTAGCGCAACGAACGCGACTAACACCAGCCAGAAAAGCACCTGAATCGCAAAGGCAAACATTGTATGTGCGAACGCCGGCCGACCATCTGATTAGAGAGTTTTAGTACTGCGGAATGGTGCTACGTACGCATCACGCAAGCGCCTTGCGTAACGTGGCGTCGTTTGTCACTAATCGGCTTTTAGTACGCCGTAGTACCCGCGTACGTAACGACCGTGAAGCGTTTTGCGCCATATGGTAGATCAAAATAGAAGCACGTGTTGTTGACAGCCAATGTGAGCCAATCCAAGTGTTATAGCCAGATTATGGCCATATTTTAAGCCACAGAGCCGGTCGGTGCTTGCCTTCGATGCCGCCATATTGCAAAACAAAGTCTCGCGCTGTCGCGAACTTGTTCGAGAGTGGCGCGATCACCTCATACGTACGCACGCACGCACGCACGCACGCATCTCATGCGTGCGTACGCAGCGGCTGCGTACGTACTGCGATACGTGCGCGTTGCGGTCCGCGCATGCGCACTACGCAGAACGTGGCGTCCTTACGTACGCAACGCCGCCACGTACGCAGCGTACCCAGTACTAAAACTCTCTATTATTTCGCCGAGGGTAGAACTGTTTTTCTGGCGCCGCAGGCAAGCAGGCTACACTCAAAGCGTTTGCGCTAGAACCGGTAGATGGTGCGGTAGCTCACTGCGAGCTCGCAAACTCCTGCGCGCTTTGATAAAAACAGGCTTTGTGGTTGCGGTACGAACGCGTTGTGTCCGTACGCGTATCTGCCAGGGTACCGGTGAACATTTCCTTCAGCACAGCCATAACATAATCGTAGAATAATAAAATATTGGGAGATCTCACGTATAGTGGGAATCGAATATATGCGAAGCACGAATGAGGAAGGTTGATATGTCACATTGAAATTATCACAATGTTACGAGGCGGACGGACGTAGTGCACAGTGAACACAAGTAGAAATGTTATGCGCACTCACGTATCTAAATAATATGCAAGTATGTTGTTTATAGTCGCCTAACAACAGCACTTCTGACGTTTACAATACCAGCACCAGCAGTGGTAGGCATGTAAATTATGCTGTACATCCCTTCCATGTCATGATTATCAAGTTTGCGCATGGCATTTGTTTTTGTCGTCCATTCACGTTTCGTAAAACCAAATTTGGTATACGTTAGACTATAGCAAAACGGCCACGCGCTATGAGTTAAGCATTTAGTCACATTTCACAGGACATACATGTCATGATTATAATGTTTGGACGTGTCATTTACCTTCGTCGCCTATTCACGTCGCGTAATACCAAATTTGGTATATGTGAAGCTAGGGAAACAACCGTGAGCGCATCATAAGCGTGGTATGCATTCATGTTCTTACATGAGACGCATGTCACGAATATCATGTTTGCACCAGTCATATTCATCGCCAATTATTCACGTCATGCAACACCAAATTCGGTATATGTGAAGCTAGCGAAACAGCCGCGAGCGCATTGTGAGCGTAGCATGTAGTTATGTTTTACATGACACGCATTTCTTGATTACCATGTATGAGTGTGTTATTTACCTTTGTCGTCCGTTCGCACCACGTAATGCCAAATTCGGTATATGTGAAGCTGTAGATATATACCGAAGCGGTCACGAGTGCGCTATGAGCGTAGCATGTAGTCATCTTTTACAAGACACGCATCTCATAATTCACAAGAGTGGAAGCTTGGGCTAGTTGGTGCGTAGTCATATTTGCAAGATTGTTTCAGCGCGCGAACAAAGGAAAAAAAGGACAGGGTAGACAGGGTACCCTGCCCTTTTTTCCTTTTTTCGCGCTTGATAATCTTATGATAATCTTATTATGATGTGATAATCACATGATAATCTTATGATTATCATGTTTACGCCAGTCATATAACTTCGTCATCCATTCACCTCTCGTAATACCAAATTTGGTATATGTGAAACAGCTCCGTGTCTCCCTGGCACACACTGTAGGCTCGCGGCAGTGCACGCCGTTTATGCGAATATTTCGCTCCTTGCACCCGAGCGTTCGGGCGTGTGCAGACAAGATCGAACGCGAGTTTCTGGTCACCATCTCCTATTTTGATAAAATTTTTGATGAACCTAGGTATTAGAGCCAGAACAATGGTTCCGAAGTTTGTTTCGCAGAAAAAAAATGTTCGCCTGAAAAAAAAAGTAATTTTTGTGGCAAAAAACACTTTCCCACTAATTTCGCGATTTCCAAATTTTGAGCGAAAATGAATGAATAAATTCGTCTGGTGATAGAGGCATGGCAGATCGATAATAGTGGAAGCCGATGCATGAGCCAACCTTCATACAATTTGCATACAAATGAAGTCAAATGTCTTAACAGTTACCTTTTTTGTAGACACCCACGCATGTCAGATTAACAGGTTCGCATATTGTAAGGGCATGCGCAGATACGTTTTCGTACCTTCTTTCTTTTCCGCCGTTGTGCGCACAATCAGTTCTTAGTAATGGAATAATTGGAAGCGCAAACCAACGGGACACAAGAAAAGAGACAAACAAGCGCAGACTGAAACTCAGTTTATTCAGAGAAGAAGTTATATACCAGAAAGATGAGAAAGGGAAACAACTGGGGAGAAGGTTCTACATTGATCAGGTGTCGTCCAGAAACGATATGTCACAAACTAACAGTGATATAGACGGTGAACTAACACAACTATCAATATTCTTTTTAATAAAAAGGCTTCCGCAATCTCTCTAGTTTTCGTGTCATGATGGTTGTACAGAATAGACGTGCGCGAAAAATCAGGTACGCAGCCACACTTCTTGCAATGGGCGGATAAATGTAAACCCTTTCTCATCCCTTTCCCTTTCTCATCTTTCTGGTATATAACTTCTCTGAATAAACTGAGTTTCCGTCTGCGCTTGTTTGTCTCTTCTCTTGTGTCCCGTTGGTTTGCGCTTCTAATTATTCCATTATGAACTTGTACCAACTAGCCCGCCTGTCAACCCTACTACAGTTGTTAGTAGGCGTTTGTGGAGTCCTGACCTCCTTTTTGTGTTCGTGTATGCATGCCCTGCCTTTTTTTAGAATGATGACGTACCAACTAGCTCAATTGTCTGTCATTCTAAACTTTATTTACAGAGGTAATTTCACGTGCCTTTACAGGATTCACACATATGTTATTGAACTGTACTACATGTATATTCCGAACAGACACTAGAAAAAAAGACACAGCAAACAAACTTGGGCGACGTCCTAATGACAGGCGTATTTGGAAGCTATCCGCAAACTCTTGGCGTCAGAGAAAGCCTTATTCCATTAGCTGCCCTCAACACCAGGTCACTGGAGAGGAGCATCTTGTCACGTTGATCCAACGCCACCACGGTGAAGTTATGTAGGATGGTGGAGATCACAATTTTCAGCTCCATTGCTGCAAACCGTTGACCTGCAGTCGAAATAAGAAGGGCATCTTCAGAACTTCGGACGTAAAATGTAGACATCTGGCAGAGCAAGGTGGTCGTGAAAACGCGCATATCCTTAATAATGGCCACATTTTCATTTATATTTATCACCTCAAGTCTTATATCATGCTAAAATCACTATTTTTTTCGTGCCTATAAGTGCTTGAACTACTTTTCTGCGAAGAATGAATAGATCAGAAACTAAAGATTTTGTCCACACAGCAGTACCTGAGAGGGCTCAACGGAACAGATATATTGCATAAAAAACTTTGACCATTTCCCTGAAAGGAACCCTGATGGGATGCGAAATAGCAGCCTTGCGCACGGGTGGCGTCACGGACTGTACGGCGCTAACTCTGGCGCTGCTGAGAGCCCTAGAAGATTTGTTTGAAGCAATGGCTGGCGTAGGTCTTGTAGGTGACACGTACAGACATGTTTCAACGTGTGTATTGTTCGCGCGTCAGGTTTATCGCGCGTGAACCGACGAGTCAGCGGTGTGGCGAGCGGCGGTCGCGGCAGGTGTTGCGGGTGAACGGACGAAGCTGCAGCTGCGGGCGCCACGGCAAGCGCGCGGTTGGCGAGGAAGAGCGAGCACTCCAAGGGCAGCGTGATGTTAACGCGCAGCAGCGGTGTGACCTACTTGGTACCGTGCCAACTCCTTCGGCACGCGGCGCGTTCGGCCGAAGGACAGCGTTACACAGGCGAGTCAAAGAACTGCTAAGCATCTAAAACATTAACGAAATATTTCGTAAAACTGCGGAGGCTGATGATATGTGGACTCATTTAGGCTATCACTAGGTCACTTTGAAAATTGAACCAGGTAAGGAGACTTTGCATTGCATTTGGCAAAAACAAAATGAAGTCACCAGTAATTGCTTGAACCTTTTAATGTTCGCACTACGTACTCAGCAACTATTTACCGTTACAATTAGAAAAATATGTATCTAGCTAGGCCTGTACTTAAAATTACACTTCAAGAGGCCTTAAAAAACAAAGTTGCCAAGTGTATACAACGCGTGAAATGCGCTATTCGGTCAGAGAACGCTCGTAGAAGACCTCGATTTATGAGCGTATTTCTTACACTCCTGCGAGACATTATAGACTACCTTTTGTATCAGCTGACAAGATCGATGTCTTGTTTATATTTTTTCTTTCATACGAGAAGTTGGCACACAACCGTAAAATTGATAGTGAATAGATAATGTATTAGTGGACGAAAACTACCACTAAATATTTCGAGTTACGCCTTGGCAGTAAGCTGTTGGCTTTAGATGTCATGTTTTAAATGCACTCATGCCTTTTGTCTTTGTTCGAATAGCTTCGCAGGCTTATTTTATTGCGATCATATTCACTTGGGCCCTAAAGGCGCACTTTTGGCTTCACCGTGGGAGGTTCATTGTAACAATAGTAATAATATTCAAAGAATAGCAAGTATATAATTAATATTTTAAAATATCACCTAGGGTTTTACGTCCCAAAACTATGGCATGAATATGAGAGACGCCGCAGTGGAAGTCTCCGGACATTTTGACCATCTGCTGTTCTTTAATGTGCACTGACATCACTCAGAACACGAGCCTAAACCATTTCGCCTCCATCAAAATGCCACCGCCGCAGCCTGGATCGAGCCCGCGACCTTCGGGTCAGCAGCCGAGCACCATATCCACTGCTCTACCGCGATGGAGGCAAAGTTCATGGTGAAGTCCTAGCTTTATAACATCGCCTTACGCATTGTATGTTCAGTCTGTGACTTGAAGCGTGCGAGGGCAGCCGACGATTGCGCCTCAATCGGAGGGGAAAGGCGCGAGCCGTCCTCCATAGGTTGCATAAGAGTTCACGGCGGAGGGGGGCTGTGTTGCTTAGTCAGAAACTGCGCCCTTTGATCGGGCGGGAGCGATCGCACGGACAGTATCTTGACAAGGATCAGCAGGAGGCTTACACATTTATACGTGTTGTTTTCGCATTCCTCAGTTTGCATTAAAGCGCTAGAAAACACGATTGCTTTGATAGGTGCAGCGGCGACGTTTGCCACAATGCCAGCGTTTGGTACAATTACGCAAGGTAAAATAATGAATGACTTAGCTGCCAGCCTCACTTCGCATAACGTTATAAATTGTTGATATTGTAGTGACCGCTTTGCTCATCTCACTAAATTGACTCCTTTTCGTGTCTTCATTTAAAGCCGTGTGCTCAAATTGGCAGATAATATTGCGTTAATAGCTTCGCAGCATTATTGTTGGTTACCCGCTATGTTTTATTACCACATGTTGGTCTATGTGGTAATGATGGTCATATAATTCTACCACACCGGCACGCCAAGTTTTACATCGTTTTCATGGAAATCGCCATTACCTATGCAGTTTCTTGATCCAGCCGAGAACGGGATGAAAGCGTGCGAATGACGCTTGCTTATGTTTTCTGGCAGGAATCGCATCGGGTCAAACCTCTCTGGGTCTGGAAAGACTTTCGGGTCTCGATGAAGTGCGTAAATGAAGACGTCGATCGTTGTGCCCTTGGGAATTGTGTAGTCCCCTAGAAGAGAATTCGACCGGATGCATGTTAAATTAGAAAGGTACTCCTATGTTCATTCGCATTTCAATATCTGCATGTGAGGTCAGTACCTAGCTTGAAGTCTTCTAGGCTCTCACGACCGATAATTGGTACCGACGGGAAGAGCCTTTGGCATTCCTTAGAGAGAACAAAACAAAAGATCTCATCATTTCATTTGGTAAAAATTAAAACTCAGTTGTATGTATGTATTTGTGGGGTTTAACGTCCCAAAACCGCCATATGATTATGAGAGACGCTGTAGTGGAGGGCTCCGGAAATTTCGACCACCTGGGGTAAAACTCAGTTGAAAGTGGCATGTTAGAAAGTGAATGATAATACCTTCAGATAATATCAGTGTAGGACTTGTGTTTGTAATAGTAATATTAACAAGTGCATATCTTGCTCATATAGCAAAACAGAAGAACTATTCGCATAACATTACCTTCTCATAAAATGAGTTTTTTAACAATGATGTGAAAATGTAGGAAAGCAGCGCTGACGCTACGCATGATGTTTTCGATAGTGATAACATTTCGTTTCAATTCTGTATTCAAGATTGATGCCATTATATGGCATTTTGTGGTTCAAGGGTTAATTACAAGTAGAGAGCGCTAAGAAGAGATGGGATGTCGAAACAGAAGAGTGGTCAATGAGAATGCGTATATGTAAGGGTGGCGTACAACAGCCTGAAATCATTCCTTCTCTATGTTCGTAAACATGAATAATAAAATCATAATAATGACATGAGAGGGGTTAAATCAGCTTAACAAAAGTTACATACGCAGATAAGTGTCCTTACTTGAGTGCTAATGTATACGACGCGTCTTTGTGAGCGAACTTCATGGGTTGCAATATTATTTCGACGTTCTTATCCCATGACATAACATGATGTCGTAATTTGATGTCGCTGGTTTTTCTGCTGTTAGGTGGTAACACCGCTTACCGAACGGACTACGGATACCTTGCTTCATGGAGCATATAACGCTTTCAAATTAGCATACTTCGAAAGAACCGCACACTGATAGATGTTATGATACTAATGCATAATCAGGACTTTTTAAAATTCGGGATTGGTGAAAACAGTTAATGGTGCTTGAAAATAAAGGAAAGAAGCAAACGGACCTTGATGACGCAGTCGAGATACTGAAGCTCCTTCATGTGTTCAGTAGTGACGTCCTTTTCTGCATGCGTTCCCAGGACAGAGTCCAATTCTTCGTGAACCTTTCGCTGGTGGTCTTGGTGCAGTCCCATCATATACAATGTCCAGCAAATCGCCACCGCCGTTGTGTCATGGCCCTTTGAAGTAAACACAAAAAGAAAAGCGACCATCAAACTGGGCTTGATTTAGATAAAATAATTTCTACGAAGATGATATTTTGCAACATATATCATGCTGCAAGGGTGAAAAGCTACACGTAAGTCTAAAAATGGGCTATGCCAAGAAAGTTACAAAAATTAATTAAAACTGAAGTGATGTGCTGGGCGAGGTTGTATAGATTAACTACCAGAATTCTTCTCTGTGTCAAATTTTGCACGCCTCGCCTCTAAAGATTAAGCTTGAATACAATTACAAAACGCAGATCGTAAAAAATGTTTTTGTAGATTGATTTTTATGAAACGTCACTTTACCTGATGACAATAAAACCCGTTATTCTGACGTTGATAATAGCTCCGCCCATAAACCACACTGACTAGGGTATTTTCCATTAGTTGCAGTTGAGCACTACTAAGTGCGGAGCACTTAAGGCACCATGCTGGTCGTCCATTGATGCATCTCACAAAGCGTGATCACGCTCACAGCAAAGCAGTCATTAAATGCCACTGCAAAGCTAGCGATGCTTAAACTCGGGTTAAAATAACCAAACAAAGTTTAAATATTATAAACAATAAAAGTAAATATTCAGTAATGACAACATTTCACTAAATATAGCTAAGAACGTTCAGGGAAGTCGCGCCTGACTTCGCAGTCGTGCAAGAGAGGGTGCCACCACCATGCCGAGCGGCAGATTGCCCCTCCCTCTACGCTTACCGGCTCTGCGTTGCAATATATGCAGGTGGAAACGACCTGACGGATTTCGCTGCAGGCACCGCGTATCTGAACTGCTGCAAAAAACAGCAAGTTGGTAAAGTGCAACAGAAAGTGGCGCACATATCGCACAGGGAGTATACGAATCCTTCTAACAAGGTTCTAGTCGTGCCGGGGCAACCGCTTACTTCAAACATTGGCGTTATAGACGCTTCGGTAAAAAGAGCACTGGGAACTCTACAAACGGCAATAGTTGAATGCCCGTGCTCAGCCCTTTCGCGGGTTTTATTAGTGGAGCTGCCATACTTTTTTTCTTTTTGCGAGAAGCTATGGGATGAGGAATATGTCAGCAATAGTGAATTATTGCGGCGGAGCTGACACCTCCTTTATTTGACAACGCAATGAAAACTTAATAATCTAATGAATAGGTATAGGTTGGTACGATGTCTGTGGCTGCGCACCACCAGACCAACTCAGAAACCAGGCGAAAATTTAAGCCTGTGCTGAAAGGCCACCCATCTTGATTTTGTGGGTGCATTCATACTTGTAGACGCTGTCAATCGAAAAGCAGATATTGTGCATTTTTGAGGTGCAACATCAATATGTAAGAGTTAGGTAGTGCGTCTTTTACTTAGAAAACGCATAGATACTTAATTCTAAAGACCAAACTGTTAATACGCTGCACTGAAGATGTGACGCCATGAACAAAAAAGCAGGTGTTTCTTACGATTCGCTAAAGAATTCAAGGGCTACATATAAAACTAGAGTTCCTGCATATGCTTCCTACGGGAGCAGAGTTGCGTACAGGCCTGGCTAGCAACGACTATTACGAGATAAAGCCACAAGACGCTTTTGCAGGTGACTTGCTTAAGCCTGTCGCCAATCAACGAAGCGTGTCGCCCACCATCATTGTTTGGCGTGTCAATGACCGGCGAAGAAAGACGATACACCTGCTTTCGAGACCGTGCCACGGGAGTACAAAAAACATATTTTAGTCTGTCCGGTAACGGAATGCGCAAAGGCGTATCGTAGTGCCAAATAAAATGCTCCACCATTGCAACCCCGTCAAGTGGCATCGCCAGCTCAGAAGGTAAGCAACAACTGACAAAAACAAAGTGTATGTCCCGTGAGACTCGAGGAGCGCCTTGCTAAGCCTAAATTATCGATAATTTCAGTATGTTTTTCGAAAATACTAACAAATCTATGCATATACTTTGCTTTCGATGCTTAAAGACATTAATATAAAGGAAAGAAATGAACCAGTTCGCAGCAAACGAGCTACAGAGCGCACGACGCTCACTGAATAGAATATAGCTGGACGGCATCCGCTTTTCGTGGCGCAGTCTTTGCATCAGCTTCTCCGCAAGGCATGATTTCTGGCGCCGTCGGGAAAACAGATGCGCAACTCTGGTATCTAAAGATAGCAGAAACAATACCTCGAAGTAAAACGACCTGGTGCTGCCACCTACCAGCGGCTCTGCGTTCTAAAAAAACTTTCGTTTTTTCACATCACTGCCAGATGGCAACATATCTCATGCAGCGCACCCAGACAGAAGAATATCTTCTTTCAACGTTCTTTGGAGCGAAGCACACAGATACGCGGCCGTTTTTTTTCCTTTCTCTTGCAACGTCATATTGCCAGACTGCCCACATTTGCAGTCTTAGATGCAAACCTAGAAAATATATGACGATCTATAACAGATATTTTAGCGACACAAATAGTAAGCGCTGGCAGCTATGAGCCTATGATTCCTGATTCTTTCAGGCTGTATTTCTAAACAATACTTGTGTGTGTGTGTGTGTGTGTGTGTGTGTGTGTGTGTGTGTGTGTGTGTGTGTGTGTGTGCGGTGCGTGCGTGCGATTGAGAGAGAGGGGGCGGCAGTAGTTCTTACCTCGAACATGAAGGTATCCACTTCTTCCCTGATATCATCATCGCTTATTGAGCCTTCATTTTCAATACTATAGCGCAAGAGAATATCTAAAAACGTAAGCAGTCGCTTTCTGTTGTAGATCCCTTCGTGTTCCTCTTCCACCTCTTTGTGATCGTCATTATTTCTCACGAGCTCTTTGCGGCGTTCTTTGATAACCTGAAATAAACCAAATAGACAGCAGAAGTTTACAGATGAAGATGCTTATGAAAACCAAATTTACATGGAAATCTTATGCAAATCTCTAAGGGGAGATGCCAGTCGAAACGCTCAAGCTTTCCCTAAAAGTATGTAATTTTTATTTTAATCGCTTTCAAAAGTGTAGGTTCTCTACATTCGTGCAAAATATAAAGCTTGTAGCCCAGCTCGACGTAGGTTAAAATCGCGTTTAAAGGGCACAATATGTCTATTAAGAAGCAAGAAGAGGCCATTGTCTTTTAGAGTCCCTGGAAATAATCACCCAGATTCTTGCGATTGCATTTTGCATGATAAGTTCCCCAAAACCACATACTGAAAGAAACCATTATTCCTAAGCTTCCGGGTTGGTAGAATTGATCATAAAAAAGATTTATTAGCCACATTGATAAGCTTCTGTTCCGGCGTTTAAAAAGCAAATGTGTTTTTATCGAAGTGCAATTGTGGGCACCTTTTTCAGATTACACATCATGTTTGGGTACTTCTGATGTACAGATCAAAGTGAAACACTTCTCACATATTCTATAACATGTGAAAAGCCTAGTGTTCTCCTTTAAAATTTGATATCGCTGCTAAAATATCCAAGAACTAAAACTAAATAATTATTATGGGCTGAGCTTTTTAAGCCTTTTTATTTTACAATTTTTCTTGTTCAACAAAATGTCTTACACACAATATCTTGATAGTTGCTACGTTCTACAGCTAATACGAAGTAATAAGATGTATTATTGGCTCATAACCATGAAAGTTAAGGGGCAGAGCATGTGCGTTCAAAAAGAGTAATACTTTCAGCATTGTCATGGTAGCAAACGATAAATATGCAACTTACTGCAAAACGTATTGCATACTTCAATTCAACGTAAAAACTTGTGTAAACAGTGGATATATAATTGCTCTATGCTACAGATTGTAAAAATATTTGCGGAGTAGCATCTCTCTTTAGGACGAAAATCAACTACGGTGCTTCTATGAAATGGTATACAAGTTGCGTTTCTCACCCTGGAGGTGAAGTTGTGAACGATTTCCGTGTTTTTCTGGTATGCCTTGCCGAAGTCAGTCCGGAAATAAATGGCATCGATGAGTAACCACGGCGACTGCACCCGAAAAGTAATCTGACTCGACAAACTGCGGAAGGTAAAAGCAACACATTCATAGCAACGCAAACGACAGTGCAAACACAGCAGCGGATAGAAGAGACGAGACAGAGCGCTGACCTGCCAGCAATTTATTTGTTGCGAAGGTCTTCGCTTTTATACAGTTCCCGATTGCACCAGTGATGCGCAAAACACAACGATAACGCGTAAGTACAGAGCCGTCCACTTCTACCCTGAGCATCGCGCCGTGTGGCTGGTGTAGGGTGCCTGAATGCTTTCCCTCGCCCGCGAGGGAAAGCATTCAGGCACCCCAGGCTGGTGCTCCGCGGAGCGCCTCTGCAGGGTGCTTCGGAAACTAACGCGCAAGCGCAGTGACAGCTGTAGGCGGGGCCGAGTGCGGCTGCTCAACCTAAGTGTGGCAGCTTGGGCTAGTTAGTATGACATGACGATAGTTATAGCGCGAGAACAGAACGAAGACAAAGAGGCAAGAAGGACCGTGTCATTCGTGTCCTTTTTGTCTCTTTGTCCTCGTTCTGTTCTCGCGCTATAACTATCGTCGCTCAACCGAATTGCACCTGCTTTGTGGTGAAGCAAGCATCACTTTGGTTATGTGCGCACGCAAATTGAGAAGCCAGCGCGGTTCTCGAGAAGCGAAGCCACTGTGCCTATTCTGCAAGCGATCGTAGAAGTAATGAACCTCGCCCCATACATGAACAAAACTTTCATGCCGCGCCTCCACAGACGCAACTAAGTGGTTCGGCGGAACAGAAAGAATATTGCCACATCTCACATGACTTTCTCGATCAGCCCTAAATTGGGCGCTGCAAAAAGCGCAATAAAATATAACTGGGTGTATTACGCCAGGTAATAAGCGTGAAGGCTGTAGCAATGCAGCGGTGCAATGCACTGTTATTGAAAATAACTCATAGAAGTGGGCATAACCATGATTTAGTCTCAACTGGTCAAGAAATAAAAAAAAAGTTTTGTTCAAGCTTATCTGGAAGTAGAAAGAAAATGTTGGCACATTTACATATTCCTTTCAGTTAGCTCAACTGTTGTGCTTAGATAATTATATTACAGTATTCAGAAGTGGGTGGCATCACCATGAGCCTCGATCACCGCCCTCACCCTATTCGGAAGAGACGCATACAAGGCGTCGCATGTCTGAACGGTCACGATGGCTGAACGTTCACCGACCAATTGGCCTGCGTGTCATCTAGAGAGGTATTCGGGCGTGCTTCCCGAAATCTGAGTCACACGTGCATCAACTTTAAAATAGAAAGGGAGCTTCACGAGTTACCTCATGAATCGAAATTGAGTTATGAATAATTTTATATAAACTTGCTTAATATACATTCTTTTCATCACGCGCACCAAAAAAAGGCTGTTAGGTGTTCTAGAAAACATTGTTTAGTATTCTAGATAACAACTAAAGTTAGAGGGGCAGTTCTTAGTGTCTAACAAACTTCAAAGAATCAACTTCCTGTTTGATTTCGTTCGCAGCTTTCATTAACTAAACGAAAAAAGATTTCGGCAATATTTAGCTGCTAATTTGGAATTAATAAAATTTTACCATGAAATGCACAGTCATATCACAGGTAACTAGATAAAAGCAGCGGCTGAAATTCACACAAAAACGACTGCTTCTGGAAAGCCTTTCAAGCTTTTGAGAAGCAGTCGTGTTTGTGTGAATTTCACTGCTGCACTGCTTTACATACCGCGTGTTCATGGGGCGCCAACCTCGTGTTCACCGAATTCTCAACGTGCACTGCTTCGTGAATACCACACGCTTCCAAGGGGATGCAGACCTGTGGGCCTGATATTAAGCAAACTGGAGCCGCTTCGCCTTGTTCTCAGATCGCATGAGCGGCTTCTTGGCAGCCGTTTGGCTTCTAAGTCCAACCTCGTAGAGGCGGCGCTTCACGGTTGTAGCTGAAATGAGGTTGAGTCCGTGCTCGGCTTGTACTTCTCGCACTGTACTTTTCGGCTGTTCCGCTACACCTGCCACAATTTGCAGATTATTATCCTTTGTGATCACCCGGCAACGAGGCTGCCAAGGGACGTCTCCAATGCGTCCTTCATTCCTGTACGCTTGAATGACCCGGTTGACGGTTGCAAGAGGACGATTTCTCATCGCAAATGTAGCACGTCGAGAATATTCTCGCACCCATAAACCTGCGATGCGTCGTCGTTCGTCTTCCGGCACTTTCGGCATGGCCCTTCAATTAGGAGGCAATACTGGTATGAAGTACTACCAAACATAGGCAGTCGTTTTATCACGTGGCGATAAAAAAAAACAAAGTTTCAATGCGCTACGAATTGAAGGGTCACAACAAATTACCGCCGTGGGCTAACGTTGCGAGCCAAGAAAGACGTAAAGCGATAGGCGAGTCTTGTTTCGCCCACAGGCAAAAAGTATGAAGCTTTATTCTGCAACTGCTCACGTAAAACTTTGTCATAAGCACTTGTTTGGTGTCCTGATTACCAGGTACGAGTTCCACTGAAAATTTGATTAGAACGCCTCTTAATTTCGCTGCCTGAATGGCACAAAGAAACATGGCTGCGGGTAAGCAGTGAATAAGGGTTGAATTTCGGCGAGTTAAATTCTGTAGCACATGAGAGCAGCGCTATTGGTAACACACAAATGTTATATCAGTTCTAAAAGAATAACGGACTAGTCACTATATTTTGTTTGCAGTTTAGTAAGTAATCAAAACTTTCGAACATTTCAAGCTGTTATGTCAGGCCTTACATGATATATTCATCAACAATTTCGCGGAATTCCCCTTTACGCTGATCAAAAGCAGTCGTGTGAGCTGCGGAATAATATTTCGGTTACACTGCATAGCTTTGTTCTGGCAGTGCCAGCGTGGCTTGAAAGTTTTGCTCATGTATGGGCCGGAGCTAATTATTTGTACTATTGCTTGAAAAAAAGCCACAGTGTCTGCGCTTCTCGAGAACCGCATCAACTTCTCAATTAGCGTGCGCACATAACAAGAGTGATGCTTGCTTCACCGCAAAGTGGCCGCAATTCAGACGAGCGACAACGCTCTAGCAGACGACGTGGCGAAGGCCCCGCCTACAACTGGCATTGCGCTTGCGCGCTAGTTTCCAAAGCACCCGGCAGCGGCGCTCCGCGGAGCACTGGCCACACGGCGCGGTGTTCAGCGTAGAAGTGGACGGTGTTATGCCTGCGAGTCCACAACGAACGTCCATGCCTCTGAAAAAGGCAATCTGTGCCAAGGCCATCCCGCAAGCCCGCCTGACGCGAACAACTCAACGGCGTCATCACGCGGCGGCGCCGATCTGTCGCACGACGCACAGCGAGCCCCATCAGCCCACGAGCCCGTCGCAGCAATAGGCGCCTTCCAGTCTGGCGAGTCTTACGCAATGCGTGGCGACGTCACTCCTCCTTGGCTGCAACCACGTGCAGCGGCTCCGGATTTGATGAGAATGACGCGGCCCAGCGGCGACCCCATTGGAGGATTCTGACCTCACGGCCAGCGGCGCTTCTGGTTGGACATCTGGTTACTCAAAGAATCCTCCCGGTGCATATAAAAAAAGCCCTGCAGCGCGTCGCGAGCAGTAGACTTATGTGTCAGAGGAGAGAGCTTGGCTGTCCGAGTCTCTAAGCTATCGGCCCCAGTGCCGAGTTTGTAACGCCTCTATTTCTTTGCTGTACATAAACCTTGTTAACTCACCGTCGTCTGGTTCGCTCGCCTATCAGCTCTGCGCAGAATCAGTCGCGAGCTGAGAAACCTACGCTACCAAGCGGCTGGTGACCTACCCGGCGGAATTCGAAGCAGTGGCGCCTTCGGGACCGTGTTGGCGTCGCCGTCTTCCGTAACAGTGAGAGCAGCGGTGAGATTTCGTGGCGCCCTTCGTAACGTCGTCAGAGGCGCACTTCGTAACAGCGGCTCTGTACATTACACCGACAAGCAAAAAAAAAAACAGCTTTGCTTTATCGGTGAGCGCGACTTAAGGGGTGCTAACACAAGCATCTTTCAAATGCTTAGAAATGTCTAGAAGTAAACGATGCATTCCAGGTAAAAAGCTCATGTGATGTACAGAATTTTATTTCGTCGCATTGGAATAAGAGTCTCTTCGCCTTCTCTGTAGGCGTTTACGACCTGTATAATTCTATTCCGCATGACTCATTGTTACAATGCATGGGAGAATATATAGATGAGTTTGGTGCCTCTAAATTCCGGACTCAGTGTAGCGTCAGTGTGTTTTTAGAGCTTCTTAGGTTGTTTTACCCTCAGTCGACGTACATCCTTGGAATGAAAAACCTCACATTCAAAATGCCGGTATCTCTATTTGTTCTTGCATCGCTCCCATCGTCAGTGACCTGTTTTTAGGCAAATTCAACAGATTCATTTCGAAAGTTTTCACTAACACTAATGTGACGCACATTTTCAGATACGTAGATGATTTTTTCAATTTTCATGGACAACAATGTTGCATTGTTTAAGAATGACGCTCTTGCTGTTTTAGACCTGATGCGATGTGGTTTCAAACATTTTGAGCTTAGTCATAAACTTTCTGAGAATTGTGAAAACAGGTTGCTTGACTTTAAGCTCTTCCTGAATAATGGCCGCACTTGCCCGATGTATCAACCGCGTAGAAATAAGCCTGCTTTGCCATTTCACTCCGCGTATTCTACATTAGTTAAGCGATCGAGGTATCGCAAAATCTTGCTTCATGAATGCCTTGCGAAAATCCTGTGTGCACAAGATAACCGAAAGCTTTGTTGAGCACTCTTCAAGGTTGACGTCAGCTGGCTACCCCGACCGCGTGCAAGTTTCCGTTGCCGATGGTCTGCTGCGTGAACATCAGGCCAAAGGGAACGATAACGTAGTCCAACCTGTCACAGCTAGACAAGCTTTCGCCGTGGTTCCGTATATGCACAAGATAGCGCACAATCTTAAGAAAGTGGCAGAACGAGTTAATGTGAAAGTGGTCTTTACGGCCCCTCAAAAATTGAGTCGCCTAAGGAAACTGCCTGTTCCTCCGTCCAGACCCATCGTCGGTTGCACTACAAAACATGCAAATAAATTTAGAGATTGTATCTGTAATATGGTGCATCAGCTGATGTTATCGTGTGAAAGATAATACGTCGGTCAAATAGGTTGTTGTATAATTGAGAGGCTGAAGGAACATATGTAAAATGTGGATCATTATAAACAAGGATGACTGTCCGTTCACTGCAGCACGTGTGCCTGCCGGCCAACATTTTCAGAGTGTACTATTGTTGCAACATGCAGGGACTGCACCACTCCCGAGATCATAGAGGCAGAAAAGATATGCTCATTGAAAGATGCTTGTGTAAGCAACCCTTCTGTCACGCTCGCCGATACAGAAAAGTTGTTCCTTTGCTTGTCGGTGTGATGTAGTTATGCATCATCGTGCTTCGCGCATGACTGGTGCAACTGGAAACTGTATAAAAACAAAAACCTTCGCAAAAAATGAATTGTTGACAGTTCAGTGCTCTGTCTGGTCTCTTCTATCCCCTCCTGTCGTTTGCGCTGTTAAGCACTCTATCATAATATACCAACACGCCAAATCGTGCTGTCTCATAGCAACGCAATATTCGGAGGACTTTGCAGAACTGCAAGAATACAAAGTGACCCTTCTCACCTCGAACTAATTATTTCGAATGTTCTCATTGATTTTCATTTAACAGAATAGCTGCTGGGGTCGAGCTTTGCGGCGTGTAATAAGTAGAAAATGATCACCATCATCATTAACTATTGATTGATATGTGGGGTTTAACGTCCCAAAACCACCATATGATTATGAGAGACGCCGTAGTGGAGGGCTCCGGAAATTTCGACCACCTGGGGTTCTTTAACGTGCACCCAAATCTGAGCACACGGGCCTACAACATTTCCGCCTCCATCGGAAATGCAGCCGCCGCAGCCGGGATTCGAACCCGCGACCATCATCATTAACTAGCTGACCTCCATCACCACTCAATCACTAGGTATACAGATTGCGGCGGTAATCAAAAAAATCTGCAACGTGGTCCACCTAGTCGGTGTCTGCAGCCTGTGTTGGCGTTGCAAATTTTAGCGTAGAATAGAGAAGGGAGTGAGCCAATACAGCAATCTATAGTGTAGTATTGCAAAGGAAGAAAAGGCTAATTGTAAGGAGACAAAAGCTTAGCCTCAAGTCAGGACCAGTTCTCCCGTGACTCAACCTTGCACGACTTAGCCCAAGCTGCGCTAATTTTGTACGTTATATAAGAAAATCTGGTTTAACGAGGCTCCCTATTTAGGTAAGGCCTAGAAAATTGAGCACCAAATGGTACAAAAACAATACAACATTCGTACTTACTAATGAACTGCTGCAACGTATGAGCGACATAACTCCTCCTTTTCTTCGGGAATCACACCCATGATGGTCTCTAAATATCAGTAAAAAATTAAGTATCAGTATTCACATTTGGGTTGACCCTATAAAGCACAGACAAAAGTGGTGGACGTACCCAACAAAATGTTCAGGGTGCAGTCAGCCACCAGCGGAGCGATATCGATCCAGGGTTCTGAGCAGCGCTGTCGTAGCTTTTCCACAGTAATTCGAGCTCGCATGTTCATTGGCCGGACGAATGAATCGAGAATACGGAAGTGAAACGAGGGTGTCAGCAAGCGCCGCCTTGTCTTCCATTTCATTCCAGAGCTGGGAAAAAACTTAAAGTAAGAAGTCACGGCTATGTTCCGCTTCATGTATATTTTGCCAAATGAAGTTCGTTCCCCAATTAGAAGTTATGAAAACCGCTTGAGCCATTTTTACGAAATTAAATTTGAAGATAGCGAAGAACCTATACAGCGTGTCCCAGTTATCGCGCAGCACGATTAAAAAAAAGAAACGGCGGTGCGCGAAGGAAGCCTTCTGCTATTGTCAGTGTGTGCATGTAGGATCCAGTACTAATTCTCATTGCGACAGAAATAACAGGAAATTATATGGACTCTCTCTCTCTCTCTCTCTCTCTCTCTATATATATATATATATATATATATATAACCAGCCGTGAGCTGCTCACGGCTGGTTATTTTTTCATTCACTTTTCTTTCTTCTTATTTACATTCCATTGGTTCTAATAAGTTCCCCTGTACATTCCTTGGCATTACTGTCTGTTAGATCTCATTAATATTGTGTTAAAACACGGAAAAATGAGCCCTTACGTATACACTTCTTTCCCTTATTTTATATATATATATATATATATATATATATATATATATATATATATATATATATATATATATATATATATGGAATATGGCACAACGGGAGCGTTGTCAACAAGGATAAATATATTTATTTCCCAACATTTTCGGGAGGGGTCCTCCCTTCATCAGGGGATGAGTTATACTGACATGAATTTTCAAACTTCGTTGCTGCCGCGTCCCTCTCGCCTTGAAACATGTTTACGAGAGTGAGAGGGAACTAGAAAAACTGTTGTGAAACTGTTGGGAAATAAATATATTTATCCTTGTTGACAACGCTCCCGTTGTGCCATATCCCATACCTTCACAAAGAATAACTGGCCCATTGAATTATTACTCCCAATATATATATATATATATATATATATATATATATATATATATATATATATATGCGTGTGGGTGTGTTTGTGGGTGTGTCTGTAAATCATGCGAAGAAAAATACTTCCCTACGCGCAGAATCAAATGGGTGACCTCTTGCTCCGCATTGGGTACCGTTGTAGGCACGAAATGCCGAGCTATTTATTATACACTATTGACCGCTGGCGGTATGCCAACCACGGAAAAATATCAGTGAGTTCTCAGCAGTTCTAACGATATGGCACGAAGGGTACGCTCGGCAGTCCACTCGTGTACTTTGCCCTACGGTGCATGGGCTACCTCAGTGGGTGTGTGCAAGCGCGCTTATCTTGTGGTGGGGGGGGGGGGCGTCTTCGGCTTTCACCGGAACGATTTCGTTGTAGTTACAGCACGCACGAAGGTCACTTCGCTCGCTGCAGTTTCATCCTTTTGCGAAAGAAGCGCGCTTATCAAACACAGCGAAGCGAGAACAGTGACACTAGTTAGTTCGTGCTCATCTATACATGTGTATGCCGGTGCGTAGACATTTCAAGCGTCCTTTGTGCCTGAGAAGCTCGTTGAGCTGTCAAGGTTGTTGGCTCGCGCTCGTCTTTTGTGTGTTCTTTTGGTACGTTTTTTTTTCTTCTTGAGCAGCATCCTGCACGTTTCGATCCGGTTGCCGTTCTTCGCGTGACATTCCAATTTGTTGCTCTCGCATTCAGTGCTTCGCCCTTGTGGTCAAACTATGAGTTTTTTCCTTAATCGCAACTAATTACGACGTGATCACTATGTTTGTAACTCCGAATGTATTTATTAAAATGTTGATGAGACAGACGTGGACATCTTCAAACGCCATCTGCCTACTTTCAACAAAGTACTGATTGCGTGCTAATTGTTTCCTGGTAATAAAGGAAGCCTACGAAATAAGAAAAAAATAACATGCGACTGCGTTCCCATCCGCAAACGAAAGCAGCACCCTCGGATAAGCTTACTGAGACCAATCACTTTACCTCTTTTCTATTGCCAGAGACAACGTCTCGCACATTGGCAAGGGCGCCAATAACACGTGTCGCAATTTTGCAGGGATTTCTTCCACTCGGTTAAACTGTCGACCACAAAAGTTTGCGAGATCTACAGCGCGTGGCGGAGCAGCAGAAAACTGCATTGCTGCGCCGCCTACCATGTCGCGGGGTGGTGTTGAGGCTATTGTACGCGGCCTCGGCGCTTATTGACGGCACGTTTAGACAATGCTTCTAATCTCTGAAGCCATGGCCGATAATCTCTACACAAAGAGTTTCATACAATAATACCTAGAGAGGAATCTGGCACTGAGATCGTCAACCTCCATGGGAATTATGGGAAGTACATGCTGGATTGGATTGCCTTAGGTAGCGGACTGTCTACAGATATTTTTCTGCAGTTTCAGTTTCATTCTTCACGCAGGGCAGCTGCTAGGGCGCGGAGAAAAGCGCTGAAACAGTGCCTTAGATATTCGAAGAGGCTGAAGACCACTATGTTTCTTGATTTGCTGCGAGGTCGGAGCTTTACGGGTCGTATTTGACAGTTTAAGCGAAGCGTCATCCACTCACCGCTGCGCCCAGATGTAGCGTTTTATGCCAGTGAGGCATACTGCATCGAGTCACGAGCGCATCCTGTCTAAATGCGTTCTAATCGAGTGCAGAACGACGGCTAGGCTAAGCAGACGCGCCGTTATGCTCCGCTGACTCGACTTCAAAACAAAACGAGAAGTGCGCCGGGGGCAGATCCCTTGGACGGACGCATCTCGCATCACAGCAGACGAAACGTTAAGTGTTTCTCACTTGATACTGCAATGTTACTTACTTAAATAGATAATGCGTACTTTTAAGCAGCAAACACGCATGTTTGTTGTCATGTGCAGTGAAAATGTTTTATTATACCTTGATGCTAAACCTGGAACGCAATGTCGGAGCAATGTACACCCTGGTAGTTACATTTGTCCAGGTTTCTCTTCTACCTCGTAGTTACAAAAACGTCTTGCGATTAAGTTTACGCACAAAAGAATTGCGCAAGTTTTAACTGGATCTAACTTATTATCACTTTGTTTTACACTTGGCAGAAAAGCGCCGCGAATATTAGGAATGCCATGCATACGAAGGACATCCGAAGCCTGTAGTTTCCATAATTATGGGGGTACGCACGCCGCTGAAGTATAGCTGAAGCAGCCCGCGTAGACACTAGCGCCAGATTACCTTCTAGGCAATATGGTATCAAACTTTATGTCTCTACACAATGCACCTCACTGTAGGCAGTGCAGCAATGTAGTTTTCCACCACTCCGCTACACGCTGAAGAACCCGCAAACTTTTCCGGCTCAAAGTACGTCACAATCATTATCCATATCTCACGACCAGCTGCTCTCATTGATAACGTGGCCGTAGCACTGTTCTAAGTACAGACTGGCTGTGTAAGAACAAAGCGGTGCGTTTCTTCGGACGAGAATTGGCAGATAGCGCGGTCCATATTTTTTTTTTGTACATTTCTTTGACTGGTACTGGCTACCTAAAAGCGAGCCTGTTTCTGATGCGTGCTAATGCGCGCAGCCGTCTTGTCACGTGTCACATTTCAGATTTCGCGGCCTTTCTTTATCAACGGGAACAAATAAGTACGAAATTAGGACGTTGTTGAAAGTATATAGTGCAGTCGAATGTGATTTCAGCATGCGCACACATTCTTCATTGACATTTTGATAAGTAGGCAAGTAGTTTGGGAGTTACTAAAGTAATAATGACAGATTTTTATTTGACATCAAAGAAAAATTTAGTAGTGGCTAATACAGTATACTGGAAATAATATACACTAGGATTGCTTCACCTAATGCCTACCTTTTTCAAATGACGCTGTGTGATGATTGGGACACCCTGTATACGGCACTTTACATTATTCTTTCGGTATTTCACAATCAGAGTCACCACGAAGAGTAGACAGTGCCCTTGCGAACATCGGTCAAGGATGCGCACTTGAAAGAAATCAGCCGTATCTAAACGCGAAGGGCAGTTGATTTCGCAAGGTGTGCGTGGTCTTCAGACTCATCAACGTAAGCTCTGTAGGCGTGTTCTACCGAGTTACTGATTACCCATGTTCTAGTGCAGCTACAGCACTGCAATATGGAGTATACAGATAGCATTACCGTCATCCCGAAGCATAGATGCCGAATGAACAAAACTGTTTTACTGGAGGCCTAATCTCTCTCTAAAACACCTCTCTTGCCCTCTTTTTTCTGGTTCCGCAGCGAGAAAAGCTCGATTTATTTGAAAATTACACGTGCTGAACACGTTGCTGACTTATAGATCGACACAATACACGCTAATATCACTGAATCTAAGCACAGGCAATGAGAGTCGAAGCTAAAACAAGTCTTGTGCAGCATTGGCATCACTTCACCTTGTCAAAAGTCCAGTGCCTAACCATGAATGCAAGACTTCGTAATCAACCGACTTTTCGATTGTGCTTTGACCATTGAGCACTGTCTGAAAGAAATACAGACAAATGAAAAATGAACATCCGGTAAAAGTAAACAGCGGCTTTTGTTTGATAATTTAGCATTCAGTTGTGAGTATACGCCACGTGTGCTGAATGCCTATAAATCGCAATCTCACAACAGTCTTCGCAATCACTGAATGAATAATGGCGTCATTGAGAGCCTGCCTTAATGTAAGGCTGGCATCTGGAAGCATTTCTTCATTTGAAAATGCGATAAAGATAACAGCGGAAGCCAGTGTCAGCCGTCCACACACAAAAAAAACAAAGCATCACACCCATCATACGTAATTCAGCCAAAGTAATTGCTTAGATGGCGAAGACTCTTATGAATGAGGCCTGTCAATTGTCGCGCTGTAGCCGCCACTGAAGATAACGGTGACGCTCATGGCGATGGAGAACAAACGCGCAGAGACCACACATTCTCTTTCCGCCATCCCTGCATAGCACATGCAAGGTACCTACTATACGTCATAATGACGACGCTGATGGCGATGAAAATGATGGCGATGATATCACGGACAACGACTGGCCGTGCAGTATCTGACGTCTTGATATGCTCTACGATGCATTTCGTACGACTGGAAACAGCGAACAACCACCATGGGAACGTGCAAAGACCTCGTCTTTGCCTAATTCAGGCTATATCCGATACAGAGCAGTAATAATAAAGTCTTGACAAATTTCACTACACAACATATCATTTATGGTTACTAAACATTTTATGTAACGGAACACAGCTTTGCCACTCATTTACATGCGTGAGTGGTCAATGTCACGGGTAACACCGAAAATTCCCACTGATTCGCCCACTCATCATCATTCACTTCGTGGATATGCAGTTTCTTCATTCTGCTGTCTTAGCTTTCGATGAAGATTGCTTGCCTTAATTTCGGAAGGTATACTGCAAATATACCAGACCAGTGGGAAAAATTGAAATTTCAAAATTAATTATTCTTTCAACTGATTACAATGCTCACGCTAAAGTTAACGACACCTGTGAGAAAAGCACATATGCATTCATTCAATATTTATTACAACAAAAAGAAACGAAGACAAGGGAAATACAGGTGAACAAAACAGCTTGTATCCCCCACAGATGGTATGCGCCACAACAGAAAGTGAACTAAAAGAAAATCTGCTTGTAAGGAGGGCTACCTCTTTGGTGATCGAGATATGATAAAAGGAATTCATTTCGAAGAAGCGCCACGCACGCTGTATTTATATATAAAAAACAAAATGAAAATGTCTAAAACGGGATGGCTCTATTTCATGAACGCAGAAATAGCCTGAACAGCTTCGGTGTCAACGTTGGGTAGCCATCCTTGCTTCAGGTGAATCTAACGTGGATATCGTGCTACTGAATTTACGAATTGAGTTTTTGGCAAAATAATTTTTCAGCAGCACGCGATACTTTTTTTGGTGAGCGCACAGCAGAGATACCAAGCTAAACACCTGAGATAAGCGATATTCCACATCTCGTCATGTACTCTACGAATTGTGAAGGACACAATTTTGATTCGTATCCAAATCTGGAGCCCTGCCGTGGATAAGGTCCTCGGCTGCTGACCCACAGGTTGCGGGATCGAATCTTGGCAGCGGCGGCTGCATTTTCATTGGAGGCGAAATTGCTGTAGGCCCACGTGCTCAGATTTGGGGGCGCGTTAAAGAACCCAAGGTGGTCGAAATTTCCGGAGCCAACCACTATGGCGTCTCTCATAATCATATGGCGGTTTTGGGATGTTAAACCCTACATATCAATCAATTATGCGAATCTGGAATGGACGTCTTCCTCAGATATTTCAGCAATGTATTAGGCACACGATAGCGTTTTTAGATAGACTGCACAGTAGTAAACATTCTATATGACAACTCTCCAGCAAGCATCAAGCTGCAGCGTCCTGAAATAAGCTTGCCACAAAAAACAGTTTTGGCCCATAGAGAAACATACTTACATAAAGAGCGGACTCTCCCGTAAAGCACTGTGGCCAAGCTACTGCGCTGCTTTCAGCGCCACGAATGGCTGGTCAAAGCCGATAACGTATTCAGAATAAATAAAATAACAAATCGTTTCCTTTTCGACACTGGGCTTTGAACTCGTACCTCCATGCTTCGAAAGTGAGTGTGTTTACCACTAGGCTACACAACAATGCTTTCCCGAAGGGAATACATGCACAGTTCATCTAAACCACAATACTGTGTGTCTTTTTGCAAAACAAATGCAAAAAGATAACTCTTTCTAGTCAGACTTTACTAAATTTTGTTGTAAGGCATTAAACGTCTTCTGCGGGACATGATGTAGAACAGATATGGACACATGCATAAATCATTACAATACATTTTTTGCAAAAAATGAATACCGAACTTGGGTATTTGTTGTCCTCCTGAGGCGGCTATTACACGTGTTAATAAAGGAGTAAAAGCGCGCATAGGAACGCCGTCTAGCCGTTGGTCAGACCCTTTCTGGCTGGGCCGTGAAAAGGCTCCAGTGGCCACTCTTTATTTTAAGTGTGAATACACTTTATAAGCGACCCCAAATCATCCACCGCCGTCGGCGGCGTCCACAGTCTTCTCTCTATCTTTAAAAGAAAGAGGACTTGGCGGGCCGCAGCGCGACGCTCTACCGAATAAGCCACGGACGCGACGCTGATATCGGTGTCAGTAACGCGCCTTATACCCCCTCCCCCTTCGCTCGCTCCTCCGCTCTCCTCGCTCGCTGCAGCTGCGCGCGCACCCCTCTCTTGCGCGCCCGCCTTCTCTCTCAGTCTCCCGTCGAGAGCGGGTCGTGAGGGGGAGTAAAGTTAAAATCCGTTGGCATTCGCCAGTGAGTTAACGTAAACTCCCCCGTGTGATCAAATTGCGATTCCCAGGAACCATTACACCATAAAGGCACCATAGCGTGATTAATAAATATAACAGTGCGAATTAATAAATACCCCTCACAGCATCACCCCGTGTATTCGCACTTAACCATGTTCACCCTCGGGGAAATGCTCGGGAGTTTATAGTATATTTCTCTATATGTCGCCGTCTTGCGCCACCACAGGCTGCGTATCAGCATAATAATATTGCCACGTTCCTTTCCTCAAGCTTTTTAATCGCCCCGTTAAACTATGTTCAGCGCAAACCACGCCCACGGTGTTAGAAAAGCTTCGAGGGTATAGAGGATCGTTTTGTCAAGGTAACGCCCACTTCGTGAACCTTTCAGATTATTCTGGAACTTACGTCGCCGCTAGCGATTGCACTAGAATGTTTGATGGCAAGTGTATCAAAGCCGACACGCTTCGCCGCTTGTCAGTTGATCAACGGCCGATGCTCTGTTCGCTGCTATCAGTGCCAGTGTCTTACTTTCTTTTTGCATGGCCTCAAGTTCGACTTGAATAAACAGTTTCTTTTTCGACCTGGAGTCTGCTCCCTTCAATCACGTCAAAACCCCGTGACATCTGGTGGAGGTGCTGCGTCGTTTATGTACTGCACACCCCCGTCATGCCGTGAACCCAGCCCACGTCGCGAAGAAGATACTGACGCCAGTCACTAGCACCGAACAAGCCGCAAGCATCAGGGTTTACCTCCAGAGTACGGGCCTCTACAAGACAAGGCTCAAAAGACCAAGGCCATGACCTCGACTGCGGCAATGATGACAATAGCGGGCTGCGCCACAGCCCGCTATCGGGATGCCGCAGCCAAGAGAACCACCAATTTTTCATGGGTCATCGTTAGAAGTACTAGAGGCTTGGCTAGAGACCTACGACCGAGTGGCCGCCCTCAACCACTGGGACGCGAAAGAGAAGTTTCGTGGCGTCTACTTTTATCTCGAAGACGTGGCAAGAACATGGTGCGAGAATAGGGAGTCTTCACTTCAAACGTGGGGTCTTTTCTGCGACGCATTCCTGCAAATGTTCATGAGAGGCGCTCGCAAAGAGAAGACCGCTGCGTTGCTAAAGACTCGTATGCAACTGCCCAATGAAAACGTCACCATTTCCACGGAAGAAAAGAACCACCTCATCCGCCACACTGACCCCGACTTGTGCGAGGAAAAGAAGGCCCGTCTGCTCATGCGAGGAGTCAAGCAAGAACGTTTCCTCGCTGGTCTGATCAGGAACTCCACAAAGACGGTCACCGAATTAATTTCAAAAATATCTACAATAGAGAAGATGCTCGAGATGCGGACGCGAAAATACAACCGTAGCTTCTAGTCTACAAGTTACGCCAACATCCATGCGCTAGAAACCGACGACTTGCGTGAGACGATCCGAGCGATCATGCAAAAAGAGCTGCAAAAATTGCCTCCTTCAGCGCAGCCTCACGTGGACTCGATCGCGGACGTCGTACGCCAGGAGATATAGCAATCGCTGGGCGTATCTCAACCTCAGGAACCACAGCTGCACGTAATGAGCTACGCTACTGCAGCCCGCCGTCACGCCCCTCCTCCACGTCCACGCCAGGACACCGCCCCGTCGAAGTTTGTCAGTCGAAGTGTTGCTGACAAACTTCAGTCACAAATACAGGCACCTAAACCATGATACGACGGTCGCCTACATCGACGAATTCGCGGAGGCCAGCAATTCATTCGCCCTCTTCGATTCTGCCGATGCTGCTTCGACGAATAGTGGTCCCGAACCAAATTGCGGCGTCAACCTGAGTCTTTCAAAGTGGAAGCAAGACCAGCTCAAGTCCCTGTTCTTGCAATTCAAGGACTGCTTCTCGTCATCATCGAGAATTCGACAAACCCCAGTCACGAAACATCGCACCATAATAGAATAAAGAGCCCGACCAGTTCGACAAAGCCCGTACCGAGTCTAGACGTGCGAACGCGACGTCCTGAAGAAACAAGTCGACGAAATGCAACGCGACGGCATCATTCAGCCGTCCATGGGAGTCACTTGTGGTAGTGAAGAAAAAGGACGGGACCCTACGTTTCGGCGTCGATTACCGCCGCCTGAACAAAATTGCTAAGAAGGACGTGTACCCTCTTCCACGTATAGACGAC